TTAATTGCTCGCGTGTTGTTTCGCTTGGCTTTTCCCTTTGAATGACCCCCATCCCATGTAGAACCACCGCAGACGGCGGTTCCCCTTTCGCCTGCCACTCCACTGTAAATTCCATTCACACATGTGCGCTATATAGCGCATATTACGTATACGCAGTGTTTACGGTACGGTACAGTCGGGTGGACTGGCTGCTCCTGTTTCAGGCTCGCTTTTTCCGTGTTAATTTACTTTTCAGCTTGTGGCCATCGGAAAAGAGTCAGCAGGAACAGCAGCAGCAGCCGAGCAGCTCAATTAACACAAAAAGGAAACCGAAACGGAGAACGGGAGAATCCTACAGCATCCAGTAATGAAAGGAGCTGCAGCGCACAGCAACAAACAAATTGCTAAATGAGGCTCCTTCCCTGCAGAAACGAAATGTGAGCTAAACAAATAGAAAACGCCCTCAAACCCCAGGCAAAAGACTTTTCAATACGTCAGTATTTCACGTGCGGAAAAACGTATAATTTGAGGACAGATGTGGAAGAAAACTTTTTCCAAAACAAAAATATTTTTTATAAATAACAAATAGTAAAGAAAAATGGGTTGAAACTTGCCACTTTACATGCAATTTAATTCTCTAAGGTTGAGGCCTATGAATGTAAAAGAAATAGCCGTTTCAAAAAGATATGCTCTATAAAAATGTTCAGTTATGCCGTGTTCGATATCAATCATTTGATTTAAGCTGAATATGACATTCCCGAATAGAAAACCAGAAACTACCATACGTTCCTATAAGATTCATACTTTGAGGAGCCTGGGAATACTTAATCCTTGATCCCAGGTCCAAGTGGGCCTCCAAAGTCGCTGAAAGGGACAGAAAATTGGGGCCAGACGACGACTTTGTCTGGCGCTCTTTGTCCGACATCTCCTGACCCACTGCACTGTCGGAGGATCTCCTGTTATTCTAAATTTATTACACACACGCGCACACTAATGAGTGCTGGTAGTGGTGCAGTGGTGGTGCTCATAAAAATCCACACCACTCCCCAACCACTTTAACCCCACTGGTGGCACATCAAATGGCAGAGTTTAAACCTCATCGCTGGTGCATAAATTTCTACCAGTTTAGTGCTCTTCCAGCGCCACTCCCTCGTCATCAGGATGCGTTGCTGTCCATTCGAGCATGTTTAATAAGCGTCGCCATTTTTCATGCGCAGTCAGCGGAGGAGCAGCTCGTATCCACCACTTTGGCCCCCTTCTCCGTGATGTAACATGCAGATGGATGGGGCAACCATGAGAACTATGAGTGCCACGTGAAGAGTTTGCTTTCAGCAAGCCAGTTGCAAAATATTTGAACTGCACGTGGAGCGGGCGGCAAAAGGATGGCAAATCACACTCTACTGAAATTGTGGAAAACTTAAAACGAAGTATTATAAAAAGAGCAAACTATATATGAGTAAACACAACAAAATTACGGCGGGAACAAATCGATATGCGCACGGCAAGTTTCTGATATTTATCTCGTTTTTAAGATTGATTTCAAATAATATCATCTTGCCGAATTCTCCCTCTTAGAGATTCTGGGACTTCGAAAAAGAGAGTAAGAAGCAAAATGAGACTCTTTCTTCTAAGAAATGAAGCGAGATAGCGCTTAAACTTACATGAGGAAGGGAGAAAGACACCGCATATCAAATTGATCATGGTTTCATATCCAGTTTTTTTTGGTGTATGAATTAAATTAAGTGTATGACCTTTTTTAAAAAGTAGTCCATAAAATCAACAGTCTTTTAAGGGTCATAAATGAAAAATAAGATTTTTTTTAATTTTTTAAACGATTAATGGCATTTTAGATAAAACTGCCGGAAATAATTTTGTTTGTTTTCTATTTATTTTACTATAAATAAATACTATTTTCTTCAACCAACGAGTATCAGTTTCTCCACATCTGCGATAAGAATTAATGGGGAAGCGGCAAATACGAAACTCCAAGCAAAATACCATAAAGATATGAATCTCTGGCGAAACTTTCCCCGGGAACAGCGACTCAAACTCAATTTATATAGCATTTATCAACCATTTGCCTTGGGTGTGTGCGCCCCAGACTAAACGTGAATTATGATGATGCTGCATAAGAGTGACATACCGTTCCATAGTGGAATATCGTTTTTTTTCTTCGAGGATTGTGCTGTTCTGGCCATTTTGTTGATGTCTGACTAGTATTTTTCCCGTTGCTGCTTTTTTTCCCGGTACCAGGAACGGAAAATTTGTCAACTCAGTGAATCGTAAATGTTATATGGAGCGAGATGGGGACATCAAGGCGGAATGAGACAAGAGCACTGGGCAAACAAATGAAAATGTTGTTTGCATTGAAATTTCGTTCGTTTGGTTTTCAATTAGGCGAATGCGGCCACCGCTGCGTATGAGCAATGTTTGGCAATAATTTGCGGCTCAAACAAGGGAAAGCGATGGGAAAAGCGGAAAAACCACAAGAGCAAACAAAGTGGCAGTCCCACGGCTGGCAGCAGTTTAGTTTAAGGTTGACAAATGGTGCACGGCCAGGACACGAAGACATGGCAGTACATCTGTAGCCATTAGACACGTAGCCGGAAGTTCCTGGGAAAGGTTGAGCTGAGCTGAGCTGATCCGGGGGCGTGGTCCTCACGTCCTGCCGGCGGACATGTCTCAGCACCACCATCCAGGTGTTCGGGTGAGTGTGCGTGTAATAAATTTCACCTGCACACAAGTTGAGCAACAAGAGCAGCAAGCAAATCGAGAAAATGAAGCTCGCTTATTTAGTGCCTTCGTCTAGTGTTGTTGCCGAAAGTTTATTTTATTTTGCCCTTCGCTGCACTGAGGAAAGGTAAGCATCAGCAATGGAAGTATCATTTGCAAGAATGTTTGGTTCTTGAAATTTTAGTAATGGTTTATGGCTTATAGAATTTATGAATCCTTAAACAAGTAAGTTAATTTTTAGAATACATAGTCAATAAAATGTATGGTTTGGTTAAAGAATTTTTATTTAACTACATTTCTTTTGCCAGTACTAACAGGGAACTATTTTTTGTCTGTGTATCTTCTTTCTTTCCGTTTCTTTCTATGGAGTTCTTACGTGTGAATTTTGCCTAATTTATTTATGCTTAAGAAAGAATTACTCTCGACATTAGGTACACGAAATTAGATTCACAGGCAGCCGAATACACAGGAATACATTTGCCTTTGCAGCTTTCTGTTTTCTGCTGCACTTCCACAATCATTTACTTAATTATTTAAAATGCTTCATGCAATTTGTGCCAGGCCCTCCTTTCCTTTTCCCCTTCAAGACAAATGCAATTTGTTTATGGCAAAGTAGAGTGAAGGCAGCAGGAGTCCCAGAGTCCCGGAGCCTGGGGATTTGGCTTTTGTGAGTGCGAAAACGGGACGAAAACAGGACGCCCAGGATACGCAGCCCATTTTGCTGAAATTACTTTGCAGCGGCGAAAAATGTAAGGAAATGCTGAGCCAGCCAGCTCCGCAGATGAGTCACCTTGCAGCATTAACCCCTTGCTGACGACTTCCTTCCATATTTCCTCTCCTCGAGCAAATTGCTATGCAAATTGAGGGAATAAATGAGGCTGATGCTGATGCTGATGCAGATGCAGATGATGATGTGGATTAGCTTTGCAAATGCAACTTAATATTTTCTTTTAGCTGATGCAGAAAAACATCGTTAGCTGCAGGCCGAGAAGATGGTCAAAGAAACGCAAGGAATTTGAGCTCAACAAAAGTATAGTTTTCATTTTAATGGCCTTAGGGCATATCGTTATCAATTATGACATGCTTTTAGCCTGTGGATAAGGTAATAAAATAAATCAATACTTATATAATTCAGCCTTAAATCCAATTACGACTAAATCCTTAGTGTTTGTACTTTTAAATCCTTAATAGCTTTGCCTTTAATGAAAATGGCACACATTTAATTCCAACCTTTTACCAAAATCCCATGGTATTTAAAGTGATTACTAAACTGAATAAGTTTGCTAAGCCGGAATTAAGCTGCCGGGAAATGTTCCAGTTTCCCTGACCAAAAATAGTCTGAATTTAAACAACAATTTAAACAGAACACACCGCAACATGTGCAAACCTAATCTGTAAACGTAAAGTTATCAAATATCAGAAAATACATTTGGCTTTTCTGATTATTTATGCCCAACATTCAGCTTTGGGTTAAGCTGCCAGCCAGCAACTCGCTCCTAACACTTGCAAAATATTGCGTCTGCCTGTGCGTCATTTTTCAATTTTCCCCATTGGTGCACCTGGAAAAAAAGGAAGAGGAGAGGAAAGCTGGGCGGAAAGGGGGAGGCAGTAGATCCTAATAAGAAAGCTAAAATATGCAGCTGAACATATGTGTGTGTGTGCGGGGGCCCAATCAATAAGATGAGGAGCGGGGAAAGCCACAAGAAAATCTTTCTGCGGCTTAGAGGTATTTTCCCATCTCATTTTTATGTCTGGTGCGGGCGAATAAAATCACAATTTTATCTTAAGCCGCAAAGTCGAAAGGAAATTATTATCGAATAAAATCGTATCATTGGTAAAGCTAGAAATATTAGAATGGCCTAGCAAAACAGAAAAGTTTATCTCCTCTCATATTTATTGGTAATTGGTGTCAGTTAAAATTCTGATGCATGTTCCACAACTTGTATATCGTTCTTGCATTCACTTTAACAAAGTTGCTGTATAAAAACTTTATGCAAACAGCACTTTCAACACCAAAACCTTTTGTGTTTTCCATGTTTTTGAACAACTTTCGTTGAACCAAAAAATTTAACAAGACAGCTTTAATAATTTGGTTTTTGATCAGCGTTCAACCTCTGTTTGCCAACTTTTCCATTTGTTTAAATGCCAAATTTATATGTACCTAATGTTTGCTTAGGCGCTTTTTAAAGTTTTGTGGTTTAAAAGAGAGACAAATGTGTTTTGGCTAATACCATTCAAGTTTTAACAGACTTCTCTAGCGTTAATATCATTTTAAAAATAAGACTCACCTCAATGCAGAACTGGCAGCCGCACTGCTGAAGCGCCATGGCCTCGGCCACGTCCTCCACATCGATGAGGCACAGCTTGCAGGTGAAGGGCTGGAAAGTGGCGGTGGTGGGCGTGGCCGGAGTGCCCACCGAGGGCGTGACGTCGGCGGATGCGAGCATCTCACGCCGCTTCAGTGCAATGCCATCCCGAACGCAGCAGGCCTGTGCCGCTTGATTCGCACTGGCCATGCAGAGCAGGGAGCTCACGGTCAGCGGATAAGCGTGATTGGTGCCAAATGGTCCCAGTTCGCTGGTCCCAGCTCCATCGGCAGGCGTTGTCGCAGGCGTCGACGTGGCCTGCTGTTGCTCCTCCTGGTTCAGATTCAGATCATTGCCGGAGCTGGAGTGCAGAGTGGCCGTAGTGACATTGGACGGCGGACTGGGACTGGTCGAGTGGGCAGTTGCTCCACCGCTTAGTCTGATCTGGGCGTTTACATTGATGTGCGGCTCCTGCGTTCGTCGCTGCTGCTCCTCCTCGCCTCCAGCTTCCCGATGATTGAAGGCCGAGTCCGGCCGGGGCACAAAGCCATTGGCCAGGGAGTAACGCGATCCGGAGGCAGCCAGGGATAACAGGCTGGAGCAGCGTGAACAAGTACCCACGCCATTCATGCTGCTCACACTGTTGCGCAGTCGATTGAGCGGTCGAATTTGCTCCACTCCGCCGGAGCTGAAGATCCCACTGCCGCCATGGACGGCCAACGAGTGTCCCTGACTGCGACTCTGGCTCAAGCCGTGAACGTGGCCATGCGACTGCGATTGACGGGTGAGGGCCAGGACCGTTTCGCACTTGCGCAATCCCGTGTACTGGACAATCGACTGGGACTTCTCGTGGTGCAAGCTGCTGGCGCTGCCCTCGCGTCGCATGATGTGCCATATCTTCTGCTGGACCACATTCAAGGAGCTGCTCGAACCGCTGATGCTCAGGCTGCCACGCCCCTGGCCGTTGGCTAGCTGGCGGCCAGAAGGATTTCGGAGCACCACATCCTGCTCGGAGGGAGTGCGGGTGATTCGGATTTCCGGCGAGGCAGGGCGTTCCCGTTCGGGAATTCCTCCGCCTCCGCCTCCTCCACCGACACCTCCTCCTCCGCGACTGCTGCTGCTCGCCTTGAGACCCACCAGCGATTTGAGAAAGTTCTCGAAGCGACGTCGTCGAGGCAACTGCCCTCCGCCGGACAGTCCCAGTGAGCTCTCCAGATCTCCTCCTCCTCCTCCTCCATTCGCAGCCAGTGCTCCGATGTTTCCAGATCCTCCGCCGCCGCCGCCCCCAAATCCGCCTCCTGCCCCTGCTCCGCCAGCGTCGCCATTCGCCGAGGATATGATGATCTTGCCGCGCGCCTGCGTGTCCAGGAGCGCAACCGTCTCGGCGTCGGCGGAGTCGTGGGCGTGATCGTGGCGGGGCGAGGCATGCAGGGCGGTGGAGGCCTTTTGGCTGGCGGAGCGCTGGTGCTGCTTTGTGTTGGCCAGATTGTGGATTGGCGAGGAGTCCTGTGGGCGAAAATTATTATTGGGAATTAGTAAGTGGATCGGAATCTGGGATTAATATTAATATTTGGAACACAAATAACACATTTTAAAATCTATTATAAATATTTAACACAAGATTCTGAATAATATTATACTACACTTGCTTCTTTTTTAATTATATACAAAAATATTTGTGTTTCAGAAATGGTAAAATGTGTCTGCATTTATGTATCATCCTGTTTTTTTGCAAGATCGCCAAATTTAATTTTAGGAAAAATTATGGCGATCGGAATCTGGGTTTAACAATAATATTTTGAGCACATATTACACATTTTAAAATGTATTTTAAATATTTTAGACAAGAGTCTGAATAATATTATACTGAACTTGCTTCTTTTTTTAATTATATGCAAAAATATTTGTTTTTCAGAAATTGTAAATTGTGTCCGCATTTGTGTATCATCCTGTTTTTTTTGCAAGATCGCCAAATGGCTACCCACCCGCGAGTCCTGCTCCAGCTCCTCCTCGAGTGCACTGTAGACGGGCGCGTACCAGGAGTAGGAGAGCTGTTTGCGGGCGGACGGAGCCGCAGCTCCCGCTCCACCGGCAGCAACGACGTTCGCCGTGGGTGTTGCCGTGTGGCCCGCTCCGTGGTGCTGATGCTGCTGCTTGAGCGGTACAAGCTTGGCTGCTCCAGCGGCTACTCCGCCTCCTGCCGGAGCGGTGGTCACCAGGTTGTTGTTATAGCTGAGTGGCAGACTGCGCCTCTGGTGCTGACCTCTGGTGGGTGGCAGGTGCTTGGTGGGCTTCCTGCCCGCTCCGTATAAACTGCTGTGGTGCTGGCGCCTTTGCTGATGCTGCTGCTGCTGGTGATTGTGCTGATGATGGTGATGGTGGTTTCCCTGGGTCAGTTCCTTCTTGGTAAATATCAGCGAGGCACTATTCTTGTTCAGCCTTATGGAGCGCTGTTTGTCCACCACCGTGGCCTCGATGTGGGTGAGCAGCGGAACCGTTTCGGACAACGGCAGCAAAGGCTGCGAGGCGGCCGAGGATTCCGAGGGGAAATTGATCACAAAGTTCTCGGCGGCGTCATCGAAAATACTTGCCCTGGCAGCACTCACGCAATCCTCACTGGACGAGGGACTGCTCAGGGAGCTCCTCTTGGATCGGCTTTGATTGTGGCTCTGGTTATGGTTCTTGAGATCCTTCGCGTGCTGCTGGTAGCTGCTGTAGCTGATCTTGTTCTCCACCAGCAGTTCCAGTGGTGGCAGTTTGGCGTGATGGTTGTGGGGACTCCGATCCTGGTGAATATCCTGCGGATTGGAGGGCGTGGCATGCGCGTGCACCTGTTGCACCGGATGCACTTCAGTCGACTGCAATCCCGTCGACGCTGGCATCGATGGCATCGCCATTGGTGGCCGCATTCTGGACCAGATTGCACTCGATCAAGGGACTTATTGTGAAGGATCTGCTCAGCTTAACCGTGGCTGGCGACGGCAGCGTCATGTTGACGAAGGCCTGCGGGAAAAAATAAATCAGCAATCAGAATTGGTAACTTGGTAATCAAAGACTTTAATCGAAGTTATGCTTAAAATTATCTCAAAATGTTTAGAGAAGAAAACTGCAAGTTGGTTAGAACACAATTCTATAAGCAAGGATGACAAGTAAAACCAAAGCTATTGTATATTTATACATTTGTAAAGTTTCAGCACAGCTGTTACCCGAAAAATAGTTTTTTCCTAATTAAACCTCTCATTTTTTTCATAAAACCAATATAGCCTTTTCCCCAGCCACTATTCCCAATAAAAATGGTAGGTTCCTCTACGAATTTCATCCGATTGCTGGCAGCTGCATCCGAATTTGCATTTACGGCTTTATTGGATTTATGGCAATTGGCCGAATGGGAATAGGGGGCTCTGCATTTCGATTAGAATTTGGTATTTTGCAGGGCTTTCCCTTTGGAATTTAATCTGGCTAAACATAAGTTTTCCTTTGTGGCAGCTGGAGAAGACAAGAACGACTTAAGGAATTCAGGTAATCGATGGATCATAATTAAATCGATCCATGAATGAATATTGTTTGATTATGAGCATAACCACATTAAGTGGACTTCTATGTTATTCCCTCTCCAGTCGGGCATCCAATTTGATTGAGATTTCGCATCCATCATGGCGGGAAATCCTCCTGGGGGCTTTCGCTATTTGCCACGGTTGCAAACTGAATGGCTGCCGCCACTAATCCCTTAAATTTTCAGCAATACAAGGCCAATTTAATGGCAATTAATCGGACAAACTGCACAACTGAAATTTGCATTGCGATGCCAATGCAACAACAAGGAAACCAATTTCAATTTGCAAACTCCTCGCTGGGCAAACAGAATAAAACAGAAAAGAGGGAATAAGAGGGCGGGGAAAAAGTCTCTGGAGGATCTGCCGCCCCATTTGCATCCAGTCAATTAAGTTATTTCTCACTTTGAGCCTGGTCAGGTGCCATTGCCAGTGTGCCGGAAAATATTCCCCAAGGCCTGCAAATTGATAAATAATAAAGCGAACAACAAAATTTTTGGTAATTTAGATAAATGGAAATATACGAAAATCGTTTGCGCCTATTGGCATCGAATATGGGGGATGCATGTTAAATTGGATAAACTTTTAAACTGAGCCAAACAGTTTAAAAATAGAGCACTTTGGAAAAAACATTTGTCTAGAAAACATTTTATTCGCCATTTCGGTCACACTGTTCCTCTGCCTACACTCACTTACTGTGTTTATACGATGCCGAATTCACGCTATCATTTCACGCTTTCGGCCGATTCGTGCTTGTATAAACGCCATTTCGTGAATTCGGCAACACACGAAATTTGACTATGATTTGAGCCCAAAAGCGTGATTTGGTGATATGCAATCTGGTAACTCTGTAAAAAATGATCGACGTTGCCAGATCGCTAGAAATTGATGGCTTTTTATAGGCCATTTCTCTAATCAGTGGTATTAAAAATTAGATATTTTTACCGGTCCGGCATCCCTATCAGCTGAGAGTGAATAAAAGCATGAATTCTCGGCTGTCGTATAAACAGTTGCTATTTCTATATCGCGCTTTCAAGAAATCGTGATTGCTATCGTATAAACATAGTATCTGCCATCTTGGCCACACTGTTTCGCTGAACTCGGTGGTAACCTGCAGGAATTTTCCATTAATTTCAACTTAATTACGGTGGCAGCAGAAACAGAAGCCGCAGCTGGCTCAAGCTGCACATGCCAGTCCGCCATTCGAGGTATGTGGCTATATTAATTTTTGGCATGCCTTCGCCTAGCCACCCACGCCCCATCGCCAACTTTCTGGCCCACATCCTCCCGCATCAGCACAACGCACCGAAGTATGCAACGAAAAAATGCGAATTACGCATAATTGCCGAGCTCAACTGAGAAACTGAAAAAGATACACGGAGAAAAAGTGTTTTTAACGTGGGTATTGGTTTTTGTGAACATGAAATTAACCTTTAAATTAAATTTTTAATCTATAATGTGAAGTCCTTGAATTGTCCGACCCTGAAGAAGATTTCTAAAAACAAGATTTATAAGGTCATAATAAATGTATACCGTATTTAAGCGCTCAAATAAAATTTTCCGTGAATAGGTCGGGTTTTAGAATTAAAAATGCGCGCGGGACAATCAAATGATTCGAGTTGGTAGTTTGACTTACAAAGAATTGTATGAAAAAAGTTGCTAAAGGTAGGGAAATGAGAGTAATGGGAGTTAGTCTGGTATTAAAACCACCACATCAAAAAAGTATATATATTTATCAGTATAATAAATATAATTAACAAGCAGGTGGTATTAAACTCGTATGTTTTTCTCTAATGTATTTTTTCTCATGCAAGGAAAGTGGAGCGAAAAAGGGAAGCCACAAGCCGCAGCGCAGGAAAAAAAAGTGAAAGATAAATTGCTTGCCCACGCCCACGTAAGCGTTGCTACAAGGGCAAGTCAAAGGACGTGGGGGTGGAGCGGGGGCAGGGTGAGGGGGAGGTAGGGCGGACATCTACAAGACACATTTGCCGCCCGGCTGACACTGACTGCCTGAGTTCTGGGCTGCGGCAAGTGGCATGACTCCCGGCAAAATTAATCGCCTTTGGCGCACATTGTGAATTCCCGAAATTTGTCTTTTGTGCATTTACATTTAACGCCATTTAAGCGGCGGAGGAAGGAAGAAGTCAATGCCGAACGAAGATTGATGAAAGCCCCGAGTGCAAAGCAGACAATTGTTTTCCATACTAATTCTGCACCTCACTCACCCTGCATCCGCTGCTAATTATAAGTATCTACGAGAAACTGTCAAATCACCCAGTCATGACATGCAACGCGAACTTCATCTCCAACGCAAAAATCAGGCAATCAATTCGCAAATCCCGCACAACAAATGGGGTCTGGTTTCATCATCATCGACATCAGCAGGCCAACTAATTGACATACGTCAATTGGCCAAAACGGAATTAATAAAGAGCCCGACTGAGCGAGCGGCAAAAACACTGAATTATTTCAGTCAATTACCGCTGGCGATCAATAAATAAACCATGGCAAAACTTACCATAATTCAAATGGCCAGCAAATGCACTAGAAAGCCAGAATTCCTCGATGAATCTGTAAAAAAAAAGGGACGAAATTTAAATGCGTTATTAAAAACTCAAATATTTATTAATTGCTTGTATTCTAATTAAGACTTTAATAAAAGGTTTTAATATATTAAAAAGCTTAATACACGCATTTACATCAGTGAGGCAAGAAATCGAATTCAGAAATTTACACTCGAAATTAAAACAAGAGAGAACGCTACAGTCGAGTACTATCAGATACCCGTTATTCAGCCAAAGGAAGTTCAAGAGAGATGAAAACATTTCATTATTGCAAAGTTTTAATAAATGGTCCAAATTGAAAAACATTTTTAACATTTCAATAAGTATTAAAAATATAACATTGCATTTATACTTTTTCGAAATCTGCAAAAATGTGGTCTCCGTTCTACCTGTTACATACTTTCCGACCAATGCAATACCCTTTAACTCTACGAGTCACGGATATAATTATATGTTATCCACGAAATATTCTGAGAATGATAAACATAACTAACTAACATAACATAAACATAACTACCTTCCAGAAAGTTTTTTTCTCCGGTTTTTTCGCTACACAAAATTACAAATTAGTCTGCTTCAAAGCCTCAATTAATTGTTGTTAGACCGGGGCCCTAATTTAAGTTAACAACCTTTTGGCCATCATCAGTGTTTGGCTAAAAGGGAATTTTAATTGGCTGTCTGTCGTTGTGCACGAGTGCGTGTGTGTGTAGTCGGCTAATTAGACTCGCGACCCTCCAACAAAACCCGAGGCATACGGCCACTTAATACTCGGGGTTAAGCCTGGCCAAGTGGTCACACATGCAAGTGCACAAATGTTCGTTGTACACATATATATGCGCATATGAATTATATGAAGACACACGGGTTGCCCTCAAAATTGTGCTATGCTTTGTTGTTTGTAGCGGGCTCAACACCCACACACTTAGGGGAAAATAGTTAGTTAATTGTAATTGCAGTCTGCTCATGACATAACTACCAGTTGGCTGACAGGTTTTCCATCGATTACCGGCGAAGGGAGGAAGCCAAGAAAAGTCAGGGACACAAGTTGTCGATTCATTTATCAAGTTTCAACGATGATACGTTTTGGCCGATGACAGTAGAAAGTTGTGTAATCACAGCTAAAAGTATGAAGAGAGAATAAGCTGAGAAAATAACACGCATTTGCTGACGTCAGAAAGCAAGCACAAACAGCTCGAGGAAGATTTATCAAGTGCTGACTACTGGCGGCGACCATCGGAGCGTATGTGTGATATTTGTCATATTTATAAGAAGTGAGGGGTGAGCTGAGAGGGGAGCAACACCATTCTCTGTCTAATTAGCTTCGTTAAAGGGTTTACTTGGCATGAGGCAAGGGGGAAAGAGTGCCGGTACAGGCAGGACAATATCTCATGTCCAGCAGGATGGAGCCAGCAGGCAAGGAATTAACACACAGCCACACCGCATAAGCAGCTTAAGTCCTGGGTCCTTCGCCGTTCAAGGCTGCCTCCCTGGCATCCTGGCATCCTGACATCCCGGCTTCCTGGAAGCCAAGCCGAAGGACTCACACGAGTGACAAATTAATCAGTTTTGCGCCATAAGGTGGAATCTCAATTAAGTCGCTGCCAAGTCAAGCTTTAAGCCCAGCCTGCAGTCATTTCAGGCTTCCAAATCCAATTTAAGACTTTAACAATACCGAATGACTTCGTGGTTGGTTGGTAGTCTAACAAAAGCTGTAGTGCGACACTTGAATTTAATCCAACATCAAAACGGAAATTTCATTAGACGCCTGGCTTGCTCATAAAGATCTCAACGATTACACCTGAATAACAGTTTAGTATCAAAATCAGTAAACCACTCTGTTTAATCTCTGCATACCATGCCAGTATAAACTCATACGAATTATTTTATCATCTAAACAGAAAATATTTAAGTAACAAACGAAAGAGAACGCTATAGCCGAGTACTTCGACTATCAGATACCCATTACACTGCTAAATGGATCCCCTTTTATGTTTCAATTTGGAAATTTTAAAGGGAATAAATGGTTATAAAATGAAATCTCTTTAATTTGTAAACCCAATATGGGAAAAAAGAAAGATACCAAGAAGTTTCTTTCTACTCCCTAAATATATCAATGCTTTACAGCTGCTTCCCCATTAGATGCACTTTTATTTGCTTTGCCAAATCAAGTTTCATTTACCCCAGTTGCTTCTCGTTGAGAGCTGCTTTCAAAAACAGCAAACCTCGCCCGCACAGACTACGTTGCCAATCTTGGGAAACGCCCAGCCGGGAATCAAAGCTAAGGACCAGTGCATCAATAATCAATGTCGGGGCAATAGAATCGCAATCAAGTACGTGACATAAGGCAGTCAGTCTCACCTGGCACCTGAAAAGAATTGCAGCGAGTCAAGTTGCAATTCGAAAGGCAGTTCCCCGCTGGAATTGAGCCTCGAAAATGAGATTTTACATGGTAGATCCAGGAGATACCACGCGAATTCTCGAAAGCCTTTCAGCCAGGCCACGCCCCGTTTTGGGGGAGGTGGGCGGATAAACAAGAGGCACTCAAAAGTCTAGACCAGACAGAGGCGGAGAGGGTATAATATTAAATAAACAAGATACAAGCTACAAGCTACAAGACAAGTGTGTGGGAGGAGAAAGGGAGTTGCAAGTGCATCAAGTATACGCCCCATTTTCCCCCATAAGTCAGAACTTTTTAAGTTAACACCCAAGCTCCCGCTAAGGACGGCCTTTAAGGCCAAGTTTCGTGGAAATTGCACAAATTAAAGGCTCACGCAAGGCTTATTACGGCTCTGGCAATCAGCATTCGTTTCACAAAATCTCAATTCCGATTATTTAGCTTTTGCTGGGGGCTTTAGGAACTTGCTCTATTGCAGCTGACGCCATTTTCATGTCGCTGAGAAAAGCCACAAACAACACAAAAGCAACATCTTGCAACCGCACTTCCTTGCAACATCTGCTCCTTCTCGATGCCCCATCGCTCCACCCACTCAACCCACTCCTCGGCCAGCTCACTTCCTTTCATGTGGATCCATTAAAGTGCCAATAGCACAAGTTCTGGGTGCCTGATGAAAGAACTGCCATGCGGTGGCTGTGGAAATTCTGAAAATTATGCTTCCTGACAAGCTGAATAGAAAGCAGACTTTATTTGCTTATTTTTAAATAACTCAATATTCTTACAACGTGTTGAGAAGTGCACACTTTTTCTATTTAGCCGAAAATGAAAATAGAATGGAAGGAACGTTATACGCTTTATATAAAGCGATTTAATAAATGTCAGAGTTCTTGCATTTATTGGTTTAGTTTTATAAGTATTATAATTTATACAATATAATTTAAGTAATTATAATTTAAATTTAAACTCTGTCATAATTCTTTAAAAACCCTTTAAAATATTAATAAGACTTTTTTTGAATTTATAAATGATTTGTTAATCTGTCAGTAATTTTATTTCATCTAACAAGAACCTAGTTTTATATTAATAAATGGTTTACTGACATGAACATTTTATCTATACAGAGATAAAAACTTTTCATCATGACGAGCTAAAACCAGGCATATTTGCTATCTTTTATAGAATTTCGCAAAAGCAGAGAGCATAAAGGGGAAACTGTCATGGGGCGCTGTGGAAATTCTAAAAAGTATACTTACATATAAGCAAAATGTGAATAATTTAATATCTCAACATGGCTTAAATAGTCCCCAACTTTTAGCGATATATTTACTTGAATATATTTTTAAAGCTGCCAGCATGACGAGACAAAACCAGGCAGATAACAGGGAAATGCACAAAGGCAGAAGAGCTGAAGAAAAAGCATTTCGTTGTCGTTGTCATAGTCGGGCGCGCATGATTTCCGTGCTTAACATTTCCTGTTCGAAACTGCCATAAAATGGCAAAATGGCAGAATGGTAAAATGGCAGAAGGAAGGATGGAGTTCGGGCGGATGCACAGATCCTGGCTCCTCCTGCAGCCGAGAAATATGTAATGCAAAGGAGCAGACAGATGAAACAACAGCAGCTGAATGATAGACACAAGCGGAAGCGAAACTATTCTAACAAAAACAAACTTTTGCCAGAGGAAAATGAACAAGCAAAGTTGCCAGTGGCAACTTTAAGAGCGTTTTTCCTCTTTGTTGTCGAGTTTTTGAGGCTTGAATCAAAGTGGAATTAAGTCGTCCCTAACTGTTGGGCCAAAGTTTAAGCCACAAAGACTTAAGTTGTCTCGACAAAAATTTAATATTCATAAAGCTGAAATTCGGGTATTGTAAAATCAACAATTTAGAAAAATTCCATTGAATTCGTAAAATTTATTTGACAATTGCTCTCTTAGATATTTTCAAACCAAATTCACACACGTTTTCACAATGTTTACAGTTTACTTTTGCCAGCACTTCACTTGGCATATCACATCTTTTTTTCGCTTCAAGTAAATAAAAACCGGCACAAACAAAAAATATCATTTAAATTGTCACCGTTTTCTGCTGATTTATGGCTGGCCAAATTAATTGAGAATAAAAGCTGAAAGCACGGGCGAGCAAAAAGCTGAAATCGAGCTGTGCGAATCGCGAAATTAAAAAAAAAATAAAAAAAGAAGCAGAATGAAAAAACACACAGCCCGAAATTAATTGCACTTGTGAACTTTTGGCGCTGTTGTTGTTTGGTTTGGTTTTCGCCGCTGCCTTTGGCCTCTCATTTGTTACAGTAAATTCAATTAAACAATGCAATCGTATAAACAAATCTACAACCTCACGCCCCCGAAAAACGAAGGCACCCTTCTGCATAGTTTTTAATTGAAAAATGTGCAATTAAAACTCTCGAATGAAAAAGCGCAAAGAGAACCCCACACACAACGGGGCGTATGAGCAATGCTCGGTATGTATGAATTATAAGTCAGAGGCAAATTAATTAAAGCACTTAATTTTCCCATAGATTCAATTACATTACGTGGCATTCAATTAAGTGCATAAATGTTCTTTTATCTCGAAAACAGAATGAATTTCAAGAATGACG